GGAACTGAATTAGGTTGTATACATTTGGTATACAGTCTTATATACAAAACAATGGGCCCTATTCATCCAATATACACTGATATACAACCAGTGTATACAAAAACGGGAATTGAGTCTCAGCCCAAAATCAGTAGCCAATTTGGCCCAAGAAGGGCCCAAATTCAATTTCTCCCTTACTCTTTAATTATCTAATTGTGATTATCTATTGTTTGTTGTTTAACTCTAACTTTATATTTGTTAATTAACTTAATTAAAATCTCCAAAAGATGAACCATATTCTTTATGTTAGATATATTTCAACAAAATTTCCTTTTCATCAACTCTCCTACTATTATTGAAAACTTTTACTTAATCTTCGATTAATTTAAAATAGTTTCCATACTTTAATTGACTAAATGGGTCCAAATTATTATTTTTAAGGGATTAAAAAATGAAATAAAATAAAATAAAATAAAATTCTAATTAATCTAGATTTGCCAAATGCTAATTGCTTACAAATTAATTAGAGTATTTCAATTAAGATTCAATTTTCTTAAAAAACTAAGAATTGTTCTTTTTAACTATTTTTCTCAAAACTGATCAAAGATTATAAGTTATTACTTCAACAAATCATTTTTTTTTAAGATTAGTCAAAGTCATTTTTAGTCAAATTGTCGGTCAACCGTAATTTAGCGGACATTCCGAAGGCCTAACACCTTCTCGGAATGTACATTTGAACTCGAACCCTTTTATTTTCAATTGATTTTATCTGTTTTAATCTTTTTTGAAAACTTTAAGTTTGTTTTTTCTTGATTTTTACTAAAAATTATGTGGCCCCTAATTTCTTCTGAAAATTCGATTTCTCTTAAACCATAAGTTTAATCGATTTTTCAAAACTTAGTCATTTTTATATTCTTTTTCGAGTAAAACAGAAATGGCGACTCTGCTGGGGAGTTAATTAAGTTATAACAATAAGATTTGACTTATTTGATTGATTGTTATTAACTGTTGAATCGTTTATTTTCGCTAAACGTGTTTAAATTTTTTATAACTGTCATTGCATTTCATGACATATTCTCTTGCATGTATAGTATATTAAATGATGGTTTTGCAGAACCGCAATCGGACCTTTTTATACTCAATGCTTTTTTCAGAATGATCGATAATTTATTAGTTCGTCATGCGTCCAATGGTTGTCGTGAATTCTAACCTAAGTTGTCCACTTGGGTTCCCAATTTTTCAGAGCCACTCTTAGTCAACTAGCGTAGAGCGAAACCAAATCCTAACTTTCTAGCGCATTTTGAACTAAGTCGACCCAACACCCAAGGCGTGTTGGGCCCATTAGAAGCCTACCTTATGTCGATTTGACCTATTGATCAATAAAAGACAATCATGCTTATGTGTTTAAATTTGAAGGATGTATACATCATTTGACAAAACATTGTCTCTTGGGGTTGAGATTTTAATAGTTTGTTCGAGTCGAAGAAGGATCAAGTTACCATTTCATCCAAAAGCGTGGACATTCGGAGATGACAAGAAATAAAAAAGAAGGACCGTCCATGGAAACATAGTTTAGGATTGTACCCCTGCGTGAGATTGATCATTTGTATCCATTTTCCCTATTATGTATCCCCTTTCAGTTTTATTCGTAAAATTTGTATAAATTTGGATTTCGAGGCAATGGAATGTTTCAAACGACGTTATACATCCTTCGAATCGCTAGGCCTACCCTTGGCACAAAAGGGTCACATATTTGTTTAGAACGCGCAATATTTGCTTATGTGTTATAACTGCTTGTGTGAATATGTTGCTTTATTTGAAGATATTCTAGTTTACTCATCTTCGAATTATTTTTTAGAACCCTTTAAGCACAAATATCAAGTCACTATAAAAAGTGTGCCCAAATACCCTTCGAGTCTTTGGTTTCCCAACAAAATTCAAACTTCATTTTTCAAATATTATTTTCTCATCTTAGAAAAAAAAAGTTAACCCTTTTTCTCAAATCGAAGGCGATTCAAGCTGGTCGAACTACGTAGGACCTGAATTCTCCCTCGTGAGATACGTAGGCAGCCTTTCAAGGTTCGGTCCCCATTTCTCAGAAATTTTATATTTTTAACCCTTACACAGAAATTAGAGTTATATCTCAGTCAAAAATCAGAAACATGACAATAAAAGATACAATCAACTTTGTCTTGACTCAAGTTGACCTTTCTGATTCACTAAGCTCAAAATCAAATAGACAAATTCATGTTTATTAAGTCTTTTCTATATCTGTGGGCTAGTCTATCTTCAAGTGGAGCAACTCTTATGTGCTTGTGGTCATATGTGTGATATTTTGTATTATTTATCATCTACATAGACTAACACGTTTATCTTTTGAGTTATTTTTCTTTGTCCGGTACTCATAATTGGTTTGTGTTGATAAGCTGGCTGAACACCCTTATTTTATAAGATCTAAGGCTCCCAAAGATTCCTTCCCCGATCAAAGTTTGCAAAAAGGAAAGACAATAATGGGTGATAACAATGACGAGATTAGCTTGACTGATGTTGTCGTGGCTCAGCCCGCCGCCACTGATCAAAATGAATTAATTATGCAGTTGATGCAACAGATCACCGAGATGAGGGTCGAAATGCAGAGAATGCAAGATCTTTCTAATCCGATTTTTCATTTTAATACTCCAAGAGATGGGAGACCTTCATTTTACTTTCCTCCTTCGAATGCGGAACGGGCGCAGAACCCTCCCTCCAATCCAGCTCAGAATCCCTCAACCACCCCAAATCCCCATCAGGCCTTTGTCTCTTGCCAAACACCACCTCCCCCTCAAGGTACCAACCCCCAAACCTTTCCTTCTCATCAAAATACCAACATCCAAGCACCTCATCCTCCCCTTAATGCAAACCACCAAACTGGCCTACCCCCCACAACCAAAATGCTAATAACCCACGCGCTTCCCAACTTTACCAAAACTAGTATACTAGCCCCCAGACTTTCCCCCAAAACTATCACACCCCTTTATATGGCCAGAGTCCATCCATTGCTCCACATTCCAAATACCGGTTCCCAACGAGCATGTCGCCCATGGTTCGGAGCTCGACCATTATGAGGAGAGGGATAGAGAGTGGAGGTCAAAAGAAGAGACCGCTAAGATAGATATGAAGGAGGAAATTAGAAAAGCCATGAAGGAGTTGAACTGTATTCCTGAGGTCGCCGGGTTGAGTTACGAAGACCAGTGCATTCATCTGAATTTGGACCTCCCAGAAGGGTTCAAGGTGCCAAAATTCGACATCTTTGGAGGAACGGGGAACCTTAAAAGCACACCTGAGGGCCTACTGTGACCAACTCGTGGGAGTTGGGAGAGACGAAGCTTTGCTAATGCGAACTTTAAGCCGAAGTCTGAGCGGATAGGCTCTAGAATGGTTTACGTCTCATGAAACGAGACAGTGGTCTAGTTGGAACGCTCTGGCTAAAGACTTCATCGAACGATTCGCCTACAATGTGGAGATCGTTCCTGATCGTTACTCCTTGGAGAAGATGAAGCAGAAACTGACCGAAAGTTACAAAGAATTAGCATATAGATGGCGAAAGGAGGCACCTAGAGTTAGACCTCCTATGTCAGAAAAGGAAATTGTCGAAGTGTTTGTGCGGGTGCAGGAGCCCGAATATTATGACAGAATTATGTTGCTCGTTGGAGCAAAATTTGCTGAGATAGTCAAGGTAGGTGAGACTATCGAAGATGGATTGAGAACCGGGAAGATTGCCCGTGTTGCTGCCTCTCCCGGATCTTCGAGCTTGTTGAAGAAGAAAAGAGAGGATGTGTCCTCTATCTCTTATGAGGGGAAGAAGACCCTAAGGAAATCTTCATCATACCAAGGTCGTTCTCGACCTTCACAGAGTTCATACCCGGCTTGTTATGCACATGCTGATTGCCAGAATACCCCTCCTCCCAGTTACCAAAATACCCCCCTCCCAGTTATTAAAATACTCCCCCTCCTAATTACCAAACTCCCCCACTATCTACCAAACTCCCCCTCCAGTTTACCAGACTCCATCTCATCACTACCGAAATATCGCCCCCAACTGTGCCAACATTCAGACAAATTACCAAACGCCTCCCCCAATGTACCTAACCCCAGCTCCACTTTACCAAAATACCCCCTCGAACTACCAAGCTCCACAACCAAATTATCAAACCAACTCATATCCCAGATATTAAAGCCCCCGTCCGAATGCTCCAAATTATCGCCAAATGCCTCCCCTCAACAAGGCAATTACGATCCCTCCCGTCTTAGATTTGAGAAGAAGCCTGCTAGAATTTTCACTCCGCTTATTGAAAGCCGAACAAAGCTGTTCGAGCGATTAACTGCAGCATGATATATTCATCCAGTGGGGCCTAAGCTGGTTGACAGTAGCTCAAAGTTTTACAGACCTGATCAGATGTGCGCGTATCACTCAAACAGTGTTGGACATGATACCGAGGATTGTATCAACCAGAAACATAAGATCCAATACCTGATTGACCAAAATTTGGTCTCTCTTCAGACAGTTTCGCCCAATGTCAATAGTAATCCTTTGCCAAATCATGGAGGCGTCACCATCAATATGATAGAGACAATGATGATTGGTGTGTGACAAAGGCAATAGTTCCGATTCCTCCTGATGAATTGGAAAGGGCTATAGCTTCGTTGAGCATGAGAGAGAAGAAAGAGTTTGTGATTTTGACACCTGAGAAGGCTGTTGCCTTGGTGCCAAGGGAAACTCTTACCAGACCAAAATTTGTGATTGAAACAGCTGTTACTCAAGGCATGACCAGATCTGGCAGGTGCTACACACCGGAAGAATTGTTCCAAGGGGGGCAGAAAAAGGATCAGACTAAAAGGCTGATTAGTGAAGGTGAAGCCGAAGAGTTCTGGAGGAAAATGCAGCTAAAGATTATTCAATTGTGAAGCATTTGGAGAAGACACCAACTCAGATTTCTGTATGGGCTTTGTTGATGAGTTCACAACTGCATAAGCAAGCGCTGATGAAGGCTTTAGATGATACTTATGTGCCCGTGGGTACCAACAGTGACAATCTAGCAGCCATGATAAACCAGGTCATCCGAGGACACCAAATTAATTTTTATGACGAAGAGCTGCCCTTTGAAGGCAGGATGCACAACAAAGCTCTGCACGTCACATGTATGTGTTGAGACAAGATAATTAATCGCATCTTGGTCGATGACGGATCCGGTCTTAATATTTGCCCACTTTTGACTCTGAGACAGCTGAAATTTGACTTGGGAAAGCTTCACCAGAACCAAGTCAATGTGAGGGCCTTTGATGGAGTGCAAATAGACACATTGGGTGCGGTAAACTTGGATATTCAGGTGGGTCCTACGGATTTTAATGTGGAGTTCGAGGTGTTGGATATCAACATCAGTTACAACTTGCTTCTGGGAAGACCGTTTATTCATATGGCTGAGGCTGTGTCTTCTACCCTTCACCAACTAATGAAGTTTGTTTGGAAGGACAAGGAATTGGTCATTTATGGTGAAGGGAGTCATTCCAATGGGTATGCACCGATCGTTGATGATGTCTCTCGAGGTTGTGATTTCTACACGGTGGAGCTGGTAAATGCCACCGGTGATGACTTGGCTCCACAACCTCTTATGCCTACCATGTACAAGATGATCGCTACCGTCATGCTCTAGAATGGTTTCGAACCAGGTTTCGGATTGGGAAAGCACTTTCAAGGAATCGTCGAACCTATCCAAATTCCTGCCAAAGAAGCAAAGTTTGGTTTGGGGTATGTCCCCATAGATGTTGACAAAGCAGAGATGAAGAACAAAAGTGTTGATCAAGCATTAGCTAGGCCAATTCCTCATTTGTACCAGTCATTTTGGTACGATAAAATGTCAACGATTGTGGTCTCGGAAAAGGAATCTGGGGCCTTTTTGAGGAGATTGATGCGGTCATCAAGGAAGAGGCTGGGACATCAGGCATCCGTAATGCAGAACCTGAGGAGCGATTGCAGAACTGGACCTCCACATCACTCCTAATTTCCCGCTCATCTGGGTAGAAAATACATGCGTCTTTGTTTGTTTTAAAATTGGTGGTAGTCCGGAAGAGGCCCGAGACCCACCCTTTATGCAAATGTTATTTGTTTGAAGCTTTTAAATTCCCTTGTGATGTTTAAAAAAGCAAAATGGCCCTTGGCCATGGCCAAAGTTTGTGCTTGTCTTTCAATGTAAATGAAAGGCCTCTTTTATCGAAATTTGTTTATTTATTTATTTGTTTATATTTTACTTTCCTAACTTTGTTTGTTTATAATTTCAGTAATATTAATTTAAAATCTGCCAATGTCATGTCATGTCATGAACCGAGTGAACGAAATGAGGCAGGTGATGATGAGTGTGAGGAATATGAAGAAGAAAATGAGGTACTCGAACATGTTGTTGAAGAGTTTCGACAATTTGAGAATCAACACACACCGAATTTGGAAGAAACCAAGACAGTGAAACTCGGAGATGAGGAGTGTGTCAGAGAAGTCAGAATTAGTGTCCATTTGACCGAAACTCAAAAAAGGGACCTAGTTAGTTTGCTTAGAGAATACATTGATATATTTGCCTGGTCTTATAAAGACATGCCAAGGGTGAGCACGAATATGGTGTCCCACAAGTTGCCGATCAATCCAGATTTCAGTCCAGTAAAACAAAAGACTCGAAAGTTCAAGCCTGAGTTGAGTTTGAAGATCAAAGAAAGATTACAAAACAGATCGAGTCTCAAGTAGTGGAAGTGACACAATATCCGACTTCGTTAGCCAACGTTGTTCCAGTTGCCAAGAAAGACGAAAAGATCAGAATTTGTGTCGACTACAGTGATCTCAACAAAGCAAGTTCGAAGGATAATTTTCCGTTGCCAAACATTCACATTCTCATTGATAACTGTGCTAACCATGAGATGCAGTCATTTGTGGATTGTTATGCAGGTTACCACCAATCTTGATGGATGAAGAAGACGCAGAAAAGACAACTTTCATTACACCTTGGGGTGTATATCATTATCAGGTGATGTCTTTTGGTCTCAAGAATGCCGGTGCTACTTATATGAGGGCCATGATAACCATCTTTCATAATATGATTCATAAGGAGATCGAGGTGTATGTAGATGATGTCATAATCAAGTCCTGCGAGAGTTCGGATCACTTGATTCACTTGAGAAAATTCTTTGACCGTCTACGCCGATACAATTTGAAGTTTAATCCCGCCAAATGTGCTTTTGGAGTACCGGCTGGTAAGTTGTTGGGGTTTATAGTTAGTAGAAGAGACATTGAGCTTGACCCTTCCAAAATCAAGGCGATCCAAGAATTGCCTCCTTCGAAGACCAAGAAAGAAGTTATGAGTTTTTTAGGAAGGTTGAACTACATCAGCCGGTTCATAGCTCAATCCACCGTGGTATGTGAGCCCATCTTTAAGTTATTGAAAAAAGATGTCTCGACCAAGTGGACTGGAGAATGTCAAACTGTTTTTGATGCCATCAAGAACTATTTGTCCAATCCACCAGTGTTGGTCCCTCCGCGAGAGGGGAGTCCGTTATTGCTATATTTGTCTCTCAGATAATGCATTGGGATGCGTGCTTGGTCAACATGATGAAACTGGGGAAAAAGAGTGAGCCATTTATTACTTGAGCAAGAAATTCACTCCATTTGAGGCTCGTTACACTCTGTTAGAAAGAACATGCTGTGCTTTGACTTGGATTGCTCAGAAATTGAGACATTATTTGTCTTCTTATACCACATACCTTATTTCTAGGATGGACCCGTTGAAGTATATTTTCCAGAAAGCAATGCCGACTGGGAAGTTGGCTAAATGGCAAATGCTTTTGAGTGAATTTGACATTGTGTATGTGACTCAGAAGGCGATAAAAACACTGGCCTTAACTGATCATCTTGCAGAGAATCCAGTTGATGAAGAGTATGAACCGCTCAAGACTTATTTTCCCGATGAAGAAATAACATTTGTGGGTGAGGATATTTCTGAAGTGTACCCTGGTTGGAAAGTGTTCTTTGATGGAGTGGCGAATCATCAAGGGAAAGGAATCAGAGCGGTCTTAGTGTCAGAATCTAGCCAACATTATCCTATGGCGGTAAAACTCCGATTTGATTGCACAAACAACATGGCCGAATATGAAGCTTACATCCTAGGTCTGAGGATGGCCATTGATATGAATGTTCACGAGTTGGTGGTTATTGGAGACTCATATTTGCTGATCCATCAAGTTCAAGGTGAATGGGCTGTGAAGAATCCAAAGATCACACCGTATGTGCAGCATATACGGAAGTTGTGCAAGAGATTTCACAAGATTAAGTTCAGACACACTCCCAGGACACAGAAATGAGTTGGCTGATGCCCTTGACATCATCGCATCAATGATTAAGCATTCAGATACAAGTTATATTGATCCAGTGGATATAGAGGTAAAAGAACAGCCTGCTCATTGTTCATACGTCGAAGCGGAACCAGATGGTTTGCCGTGGTATTTTGACATCAAGAAGTATTTAGAGGACGGGACTTATCTTGAGAATGCAATGTTCAATCAGAAGAAGTCGATACGCCGTATGGCCTTCAATTTCTTTGCAAGTGGGGAAATCCTTTATAGGAGAACTCCAGATTTAGGTCTTCTCAGATGCGTAGATGCTAGTGAAGCTGCAAAGCTTCTTGAACATATACATGCTGGAGTTTGTGGTACTCATATGAATGGACTCACTTTAGCGAGAAAGATCCTCCGAGCCGGTGTTTTTGGATGACTATGGAACATGATTGCTGCAAGTTTGTGTAGAAATGTCATAAATGTCAAGTGCATGGTGATTTGATTCGAGTCCTGCCTCATGAACTCAATGCTATGAGTTCACCTTGGCCTTTTGTAGCTTGGGGCATGGATGTCATTGGTCCAATAGAGCCAGTCGCCTCTAATGGACACAGATTCATTTTGGTTTGCCATTGACTACTTCACCAAGTGGGTGGAAGCATCTTTGTACAAGTCGGTAACCAAGAAGGTTGTAGCTGATTTTGTTCGCAAAAAATTGATATGTAGGTTTGGAGTACCAGAATCCATCATTACTAATAATGGAGCGAATCTCAACAGTCACTTGATGAGAGAGAAATGTGAACAATTCAAGATTACTCACCGAAACTCAACCGTCTATCGTCCCCAAATGAATGGAGCCGTAGAAGCTGCCAACAAGAACATAAAGAAGATTTTGAGGAGAATGATTGATAATCGCAGAGGTTGGCATGAGATGTTGCCATATGCTTTGTTGGGTTACCGAACGACTGTCAGAACATCAGTTGGAGCTACTCCGTATCTGCTGGTATATGGAACAGAAACGGTTATACCTGCAGAAGTTGAAATACCTAAATTGAGAATCATTCAAGAAGCTGAATTGAACGATGCCGAATGGGTCCCCAAGCGAATTGATCAGTTAACATTGATTGATGAGAAGAGAATGATTGCTGTTTGTCATGGTCAACTTTATCGACAGAAATGATTCGTGCTTACCACAAGAAAGTAAGAGCCAGAATGTTTGAGGTTGGTCAGTTGGTTCTCAAACACATTTTCCCTCATCAGGATGAGTACAAAGGGAAATTTGCACCAAATTGGCAAGGACCCTACATGGTTCGCAAAGTGTTATCTGGAGGTGCCTTGGTCCTGTCGGAGATGGATGGCACCGAATGGCCGAAACCGATCAACTCAGATGCTGTCAAGAGATATTATGTGTGAAGTTTCAGTTTGTATTTTCTATCATTTCCTTGTAATTTCTATTTGCTTGTAATATGTTAAATTATCCCTTTGTAATGAACTACGTCTGACCTGAATTCTCAAGAATGAGATACGTAGGCGGCCTATGTCGGCCTCGGTCACTCCTTTATCCCTTTAATATTTCTTTGTAATGAACTACGTCTGACCTGAATTCTCAAGAATGAGATACGTAGGCGGCCTATGTCGGCCTCGGTCACTCCTTTATCCCCTTTTAATATTTCTTTGTATTTGAACTACGTTCGACCTGAATTCTCAAGAATGAGTACGTAGGCGGCCTATGTCGGCCTCGATCGGTTTCTTTGTAATTCTATTTTTGTTGATCCTGAGGGGGAACTACGTTTGACCTGATTCGCACTTCAACGGGATACGTAGGCGCCACAAGGGTTCGGTCATATCCCTCGTAAGGTTTTTATATCTCTTTACAATAGAAACCGGGACATAATTTTTTTAGAAACCGGGACATAATTTCTCTCAAGAAAGAAACCGGGACATAATTTCTCTCAAGAAGAAGATCTCTCCAATAAAGTTGAGACTGAAGTTACTTTGAGATTTGCAACTGGGATAGAATTTTTGAGAAGATCTCAAAAATTTCGTGATTTGCTCACCAACAATTCGAGATAAGGCAAGAGAGTTAACTGGGACAGATTTTTTGAGGATGACCTCAAAAATTTCAATAAGGTTCATCGGCAGTTTGGAACAACTTTGAATACTTCCCAGCAAGTAATCAGACAGATTTCAAAAACACCAACCCCGAATGATATTCATTAAACTTTACATGACATGACACTTGGCAGTGACTTTTTCCAAACATTACTTTTAAAAATCTATTTTCCTTAAAAACTTTTCCTTCATGTTTCAATTACTTTTCATAAAATAATGTGTCTTATCTATCGAGAAACGGAGATCGGAGAAATCAATCGAAGATAGCAAGACAAGGAGCAGACAACCGAAGAGATCGACACAGATCAGTTCATTTTTTTTAAACTAACAATTTTTCTGTGGACGGAGTCAAAAGTTTGCCTCGAGATCAACATATTCCACCATTTAATGAATATGGAGAAGTCAAAGGGGCAAAGAGCTCCCCAAAATTGACATTTTTCTGTGTATGTAGGAAATATTTTATGCTGCTTATATCAAACATTTTGGAATATGAATAACATTATTTCATTCAATTCCCAACAAGGTGAAGTCCATAATGAACGTGCAACTATGTTC